AGGCTGTAGGTCTCATATCAGACCCACTTCCTGAACCTGCACACCTCAGATCAGCCCCAATTCCTACACCTTCACACATTAGATCACCCCAAGTCCTGCAACTTTCCAGATCAGCCCCAATTCCTGGACCTTCACACCTCAGATGAGACCCCATTCCTGGACCTTCACACCTCAGATCAGACCCAATTCCTGCTCCTTCACACCTCAGATCAGACCCCATTCCTGCACCTTCACACCTCAGATCAGACCCAATTCCTGCACCTTTTCATCTCAGATTAGCCCCAATTCCTGCACCTTCACACCTCAGATCAGACCCCATTCCTGCACCTTCACACCTCAGATCAGACCCAATTCCTGCACCTTTTCATCTCAGATTAGCCCCAATTCCTGCAACTTCACACCTCAGATCAGACCCCATTCCTGCACCTTCACACCTCAGATCAGACCCAATTCCTGCACCTTTTCATCTCAGATTAGCCCCAATTCCTGCAACTTCACACATCAGATCAGACCCAATTCCTGCAACTTCACACATCAGATCAGACCCAATTCCTGCAACTTCACACATCAGATCAGACCCAATTCCTGCAACTTCACACATCAGATCAGACCCAATTCCTGCACCTTCACACCTCAGATCAGACCCAATTCCTGCAACTTCACACCTCAGATCAGACCCCTTCCTGCAGCCCCAATTCAGACCCAATTCCTGCAACTTCACACCTCAGATCAGACCCATTCCTGCAGCCCCAATTCCTGCACCTTCACACCTCAGATCAGACCCAATTCCTGCAACTTCACACCTCAGATCACCCCCATTCCTGCAGCCCCAATTCCTGCACCTTCACACCTTTTTTCCAGGCTTTTTCACTAAAGACATCTTCAGTTGCAGACAGGAATAACCTGGTACTGAGAGAAGGGCCTGCAATTAAATGTCAGTGATGTCAGGCAGGCCCCTGAAGTGTCATAGAGGTGGGTGGGCCGCAGGCACAGATGGCAGGCTGGGCTTTGTAATTGACAGCCTAGTGAGCCTATGGCAGAAGCGCTGTAGTTCAAGGGAGCAAAGGTCCATAGCAGGATCCTCTGGCCCTCCAGTGGGCCAATCCAAGTCTGGGCGCATACCACGTTACAATCTTCTGTGTACCACTAAAAATGACATTACGCTTTAGATTGCCTATCCCTGATTTAGATAGTAGGAAACATGGCAGACTAGGCAGCCATCGTGAGAAGTAAAGATTTGTGCATATGGCTGAAGTACATGAGTGGCTTGCTTTCACCCCAGAATTTTTTGGGGGTCATTAAAGACTTCCCTTACACAATGGCAATACCTTATGGCTAACATGTGCATGTGGTGTTTTGGATCCCTCTGATGGGAAAGCATCATTCTGAATATTCACTGAAAAGCTAAAAAAGAAAATATTTGCACTGGTTGTGGCCCCTCCTTATTCACATGCACTACCCCAACACATGGCAATGCCAACCTGCTGTATGTGCAGTGTGTTGCAGTGTCGTTCATTGTCAATGGCACCCCAAGGCATTGTACTAGACATGTGCGATTCGTTTCTTTCCCAATCAAAATACGTACGAATTTTCCGAAATACGGACATTCAGACACATCTGAATTTTCAAATCCCAATGCATCCGAATTTCCGCTTCTGAATTCTGGATCCCGTCCGAATTTCGTTCAAAAATGCAACTGAATCGGACATGTGACTTTTCTGGCCAATCAGATGTGTTTTTCAGGTTAATGCATCCGAATGGGTCAGAACACGAATTTTCGTTACGGCAACATGGGCGCCACATACAGTATATACATATAATACTAAAGCTGAGGATCCCAGACCAGAATGCCATTTGGGATCTGAATTTGCGACTTGCATGTCATTCGGGTCTGGGAGCTTCAGCTTTAGTAATTTATGTATATGGCTCCCACACCCGAAGGGCATTCAGGAGCTCCCCAATGCAATTCAGAGCCTGAATGCCATTCGGGTCTAGGAGGTCCAGCTTTAGTATTAATATCTGTATATGGTTTTCTGTGGTATTCGCATGAATATTCGTAAACTCATCCGAAACTAACGACAATTCGTATTTTGTCCGAATCCGAAACCCGAACCAAATTGAATTTCGGATCCGAATCCCAAAATACCAAAACCAAACTTTTCCGCAACTTGCAGGTCTCCATCTTACCCAAAGCACATACGGGGGAATTGATCAAAACTGGAGCAGTTGCCATGGCAACCAATTAGCATCTATCTTCAGTTTTCTCAGTTGAGATTTGAAAATGAGAGAGAAGCCGATTGGTTGCCATGGGCAACTGCTGCAGTTTCCGTCTGCTCCATTGTTGATAAATTCCCCTCATTGTATGAGTTGTGTTGCTATAAAAGGAACTTGTACATTTTTGGGTCTATTGCAGTGCCTTGGCAGCCCATTTGTAATGAAGGAAACGCCGACAACCAGCTAAACACATAGACGGAATACATGTATCTTGACTGCTAAAGGATTTGTATATCTGCCCATCCAGTCCTGAGTTATACACAGCCCTGCCTGGAGTTTAAATAACAATATCCAGTCCACTGAGCATCACGCCCCAACGTGTGGTTTCATCCAGCGTATACGTGACCGGGCCTGCCTGGCACTGAAAGAGTCCATGCCCCCGGCTGTTTGCTTTCCTTCTATTGAATCTGTACAATAAAGTGGCCAAATATTGGATTTCGAGCCGGGTGACGGATTGGTTGCTAGCAGGCTGTGTTCAGAGTCACTCTTCCAGCTATTTATCACCTGCTCTGCCGCTGATACCGTCTGTGTGACCAGACAAAACCTCTCTATGATGAATAGATGGCGGAAACAGTCACAGCTCGTCTGTCCGCGCCCTCGCCTATCACTATGGTACAGAGAGGGTGGTACTGTTTAAGGTGGAACTCCAGACGTGATAGATACACATTTGCAGTACAAATACATTAAATATTAGGGATGCAGCAATACCGATATTTTTTTTCAGTACTCGCCGACACAGAATACCGAGTACCAGAAGTCCCATTCAGGAAGCCAGTAGCATGTCTGTAGTCTCTGACAACGTCCTGTAGCATGTCTGTAGTCTCTGACAACGTCCTGTAGCATGTCTGTAGTCTCTGACAACCTCCTGTAGCATGTCTGTAGTCTCTGACAACCTCCTGTAGCATGTCTGTAATCTCTGACAACCTCCCATAGCATGTCTGTAGTCTCTGACAACCTCCCATAGCATGTCTGTAGTCTCTGACGTCTTGTAGCATGTCTGCAGCCTCCGATAACCTCCCGTAGCATGTCTGCAGCCTCCGATAACCTCCTGTAGCATGTCTGTAGTCTCTGACAACCTCCTGTAACCTATCTGTAGTCTCTGACAACCTCCTGTAGCATGTCTGTAGTCTCTGACAACCTCCTGTAGCATGTCTGTTGTCTCTGAAAACCTCCCATAGCATGTCTGTAGTCTCTGACAACATCCTGTAGCATGTCTGTAGTCTCTGACAACCTCCTGTAACCTATCTGTAGTCTCTGACAACCTCCTGTAGCATGTCTGTTGTCTCTGAAAACCTCTTATAGCATGTCTGCAGCCTCCGACAACCTCCTGTAGTATGTCTGTAGTCTCTGACAACCTCCCGTAGTATGTCTGTAGTCTCCGACAACCTCCCGTAGTATGACTGTAGTCTCCGACAACCTCCCGTAGCATGTCTGTAGTCTCTGACCATGCCCCGCTGCATCTCTGTAGTCTCTGACCTAGGGTTGCCACCTGTTCAGGATTCACCCGGACAGTCCGGGTTTTGAATGCTGTGTCCGGGTTTCATGGCAGCAGAGACCCAGACACAACATGTCAGGCAGACAGGGGCAACCAAACCTAAGATAGGGGCTACTGGCTCCCCACTGAAAATAGCATAATCTATTATATTTACATACGAATGGGTGGCGCTATGTACATGAGTAAGCCACCACTCATTCTCCCCAAAGAAATGTCCGCGTGTTGCTTGAGTGTTCGGGCTTCGCTTGAAGAAAAGGTGGCAACCCTACTCTGACCATGTCCCGCTGCATGTCTGTAGTCTCTGACCATGTCCCGCTGCATGTCTGTAGTCTCTGACAACCTCCTGTAGCATGTCCGTAGTCTCTGACCACCTCCTGTAGCATGCCTGTAGTCTCTGACCATGTCCCGCTGCATGTCTTTAGTCTTGGTTGCATATCTTCAAAAACAGGGGAACTGAGGACAGAGGGACATTGCTTTGTCATGTAACTGTGAATTAATTTCAGAATATTTGTCTTATAATGTACAGTTAGCTGCAAGACGATGGGCCGCTAGAACAATAAGCTATGACACAATATTGGAGGGAATGTATCAAAACCAGAGCAGACAGAATCTGGAGCAGTTGCCCATGGCAACCAATCAGCTTCTCGTTCCAGTTTGTTCAGTTAAGCCTTGAAAATGAAAAGACAGACACTCATTGGTTGCCATAGGCAACTGCTCCAGATTCTACCGGCACTAATTTTGATAGATTCTCCTCTTTGTTTCTCAATGAAAGTCTTCACTTTATTACATTTTCTTTTCTGCTCATAACACTTCCATCGAGTCTTCGCCTGCCACTACTAAAGATGGCGTTTGCCGCCTCTGCCAGCAGTTTGTCTAACAATGTAATGTTACCTACAAGATAGACTTGGAGAGAAATAAGCTGAGGAAAAAAAGGTCGTTTGTGAATGAAAAGCACTTCGGTTATTGAATATGCTCCCTCCCATTACACAACAATCGAGTCATCGTTTGCCACTACTAAATATGGCGTCGCCGCCTCTGCCAGCAGTTCGTCTTACAACGTACATTTATCTGCAAGATGGACTAGAGGTTAGGGGAATATGCTAAGAAAAAAATGTAGTTTCTGAATTAAAAGTGCTTCGGTTGTTGAATATGCTCCCACCTAGTACACAGAAAACGCGTCACCGCTTTCCATTAGCATAGATGGCGACCGCCGCCTCTGCCAGCAGTTAAAATGGCCGCGCCGAGCAGCCATGTGATTCCGTATTTGCTACCTTCTCTCTCCAGCATGGAGGAAGCCTCGGAGCAGTTACTGTCCCAGGCTGTGTCCGAGCTCTGCTCCTGCCTCGGTCGCTCCGCGATCACCCCCCGTACCCCGGCCGGCTATGCAGAGCTTTCCCAGGCCGTGGTCGTATGGGCAACACCAGGGCCGGACCCGGCCAGTCAGGAGACTGTTCCTAGTAGAGCATGTGCCGCCGCAAGTGCATTCCTCCGTTTACTGGAAGCGATAAAAACCACGTCACGTGACAACCAGAAAGCCAGGGACTCCGATACCGCAGGGGCGGGGTCAGCACCGATAGAGACACCTGGAGACCTGTTACAGGACGGGAAGAAAGAGCTTACAAGTGGCAAAGGACATGTTTCTGAATCACCCGAGGACATATCCTTTAAACATAATAAAGAACCACCCTCTAGTGCCTCATTTGGTTCCCCGGGGGCTGGCTCTCTGGACCCTCACTGTATCCTGGCTCATGTTACCTCTCCGCTCCTCCTGCTCTGTGGGGCGCATATTGAAGAAAAGCCATGGACGGATTTGTGTTCCCGCTCTCTGGCTGGACAGTTGCTGCAAACGCTGTTACGGATGTGGGACTGCAAATCTGTAGCTGACCTCCTGAAGGGCCCCGATAGCCCAGAGCCAGAATTTGTTATATTTAGGGAAGTGTTGGGGCTTCTTGGACCTCGGCTGCGCAAGTGAGACCTCACGGCCATTTTTAATTTTTTTTAACAATGGCGGTAATTTTTAAGGAGCGTTGGCGACCTGGCCCCTGGGATATGTTTAGGCCTCTTTGTGTAACGTGAAGGATGGTCCCATCCCCCAACCTGTCACTCATGCACCTGAATTGTGGGCGGTCCTCCCTGATGTTTATTCATCTGGTGGGTGGAGCCATGCAAATTTATTGCCTGGGATCTGTGAGTTGTTAGACGGCAAATCCCACCTGCTGCTGCAGCAAATGACATCACAGATCACGCTGGCGCTTTGCTATGACATCACCGCCCTTGTAGTCCATTGTTTACTTCCTCCAGCTCCATAACAGAAGGCCTGTACCTCCGTACGGACCAGGAGCCAAGATGTAAACAATGCAGGGGCCCGTACATTGCACTGGGGCGCACTGATCGCGGTTGCAATGCTCTGCAGGCTCCAATCAATGCTCATTTTATTGATGTGTGTGAGTTTATTACATTTTGGCAAGAGGTGGACTACACCTTTAGGCCTCATTCACACGAGAAACGGGCAACACGTACAGCTCTGTGCACGGCCCTATCGGGCAGCTCCCGGGAAGGACAAGTGTGATTAGTGCACAGCCCCCGTCCTTGTCTATGGGAGTACGCCGCCCTGCGCTCACCCGCCCTGCACGTCCATACTCGTACGCTGATAGGATGGATCCTGTCTGCATCCGAGACGGGACACCCGCACCAGTACGGACCTGCACTTGGGGTGAGCGTAGGGCGGCGTACTCCCATAGAGAAGGACGGGGGCTGCGTACTAACCTTGTGTGTCTCTGTACCTTTAAGGAGGTGGGGCGTCCTCCTGACAGGCCTGCACCCAATTTGATATCTTCTGCCCCCATGTGCTCCAAGATGGAGACTCTCATAGTTTAGAGTTAGGACCGCACTATAAGAGGTGCCTTGGCGCGGCAGTGCGGCTTACACATCCTTTGCAGAAGACGTGTATCCAAACCTCTGTCATTGTCCTTAGTGGTGAGACAAGTTGTTTTACATGCTGGTTTGTGAGTGTGCCATGATGCCTTTCTACTGTACCACTAATCACACGCAGCACCTGTCCTTCCCGGGAGCTGTACGTGCCGGCCTTTTCTCGTGTGAATGAGGGCTTAAAATGTATCAAAGGCTGGAAAGCCCTCCAGCTGTGAGCAAAACTACAATTCCCATCATGCATCTGCCTGTGGGAGTCATGCCTGTCAGTCTTGCCATGCCTCATGGGACTGGTAGTTCCAGCACAGCTGGAGGGCCAAGGTTGCCCACCCCTGGAGAAGGGAATGGTGGGACCTTCTGTCAGGTTCTATATGGCAGTTGTGCCCCATTGGAGTAAATTCCCTACACTTCCTGTCCTGTAGTTGAAAGGAACCCTCTTCACAGTGAGGGATGTCCTCTCTGAACAGGGGGCCCTAATGTTTCCCCACCGCTGACCCCTCCTCCTCTCTGAAGGTGGAAGCGGTGTCTATTACATCACTTCTGCCTTCAGCTGTCATTCCTCTGGCTGCTAGCCAGGAGAAGAAGCTTATGAAGCAGATCTCTGCTTCATCAGCTTCTTTGGGGTCTGTAGGTAACATTAGGGGTCTTGGAGACCCCTGATGTCTCCATAAAGAGGACCTGTCATTGTATATTGCCTATCACATTGGGGGCTTATTAGCGATAAAGTTGTGTTTAAAAAATAAAAAAATAAAGTCTCCTAATAAAAAAACACCCCCCAAAAAAATGTAAGTCCCCCGCCCCCGTGTACACACACATATAAATGTAAATACGTGGTCGGTTATTTTCCGAGTTCATTTCCTGTTTAAGAAATGACATCACTAACAAGCTGGGTGGTCGATCATTTTGTTTCTCTTTATCGGTCTTCGAAATTGATTTTAACATTGTGACATTTCTAATTTTAGAGACACGTGGGAGTCGCACCCCGATGCCAAGATTGTCTTCTCCTGGATGTTGTATCGGGTACCCCGGCCCTGGCTCACGGACTTCCTCAGCAGAGTCATGCCCCCATCGCTGCTCTTCTCTGATGACTACAAGCCGGAGAACAAGGTGCTGGGGGTACGATGCCTCCATCACATCATCAACAATGTGGTGAGAACTCCATACAGTCATAGCAGAGTTATTAGAGTCGCAGTCTCTGTTTCATCAGCATGAGGTTAGTAAGAGAAGGATTGGGAGTCTGTTCCTCTTGTAGGACCTTTCCATGTGGATAGATTATAGCGCAATGCAATCAAAGCTGAGCTCCGGGATCAGCTCAATATTGTCCTCATACAAGAGTCATGGGTATTCTTCCTGAATCTGGGTGAGCTTTGTGTATTTCTTCAGATCTGTGCAGCCTTGCTGGTTGCATAGCTGTCTGTTTATGATACCTAGTGACTACCCTTTGTGTGTTATACACAAGCCCGGGCTCCTGAGTTGGCGTACCTTTGAGTATGTGTAAGGAATTGCAGAGTTTCTCCCCCCCCCCCTTCCCAATCCTGCTGCTGTAGGGACTTGCCTTAAATTATGTAGAAACAGGGACACCGGCACTCCAATTGCAATTTAAAGGAGAACTTGGGGGTTTAAGGCTTTTCCCCATAGTTCTCCTTAGTGTAACGGGAGGACACAAACTAGCGTCCTCCCGTCACTCTAGGCTCAGTATACCGCGAGCTGTAGCCCAAGATGCTTTGTGGCCACCTTAAACTCTTCAGATGTTCGGACGAGAGCGCGCGGAGAAGACACACAGGTAAGTTTAAACCCTTTTTAAAAAAAAAATGTTTTTGCATACATCTACTGCTTGCTGGCAGCAGATACATGCAAAAACACGCAAGGAAATCGTTGAGCCCCCGAAGTGCCTTAGGTTTTTTTTGAGGGTTTTTTTTTGTCATCTTCCCTCAATAAAATACTGTTCTAGACCAGGGCTGGGCAAATCCCAGGAGCCAGGTAGCCAATTTTTCTTAGGAAATGCAGCCGGCAGCTTACGTTTTAAGGTTTTCTCTAGTGGTTGTCAGTGGAGCTGGCTCCTAGAAAAAATCCTGCTGGCTCCCGGATTGGACAGACGGTCTTTTGGATTCCAGATGAATTTGTCCACCCCTGCTCTAGACTCTTAAAGCATTCCCTAGTTCTTGAAGACAAACTCATGTACACCCTCCTGAGAGTTGACCTGCAGTACCTGGCTGGCCCAACAGCTGAATTCCTATAATTCTTATGGGTCGAATGACCTTGAACCTGTTCTTGTAATAATTCTGGCCATGTTCCCTGGTTCTAGTGCTCCCTTTGAGCTCACTGCATCCTTTGCTATACACTTTGGAGGATGAGAACAGAGCACCAAGCCCCCGCCTGCCTATGAGCCCAAGATATATGTCAATCTGATTGACACTGTGTAAACCTGGACTTTCTTAGGCGCAGGGGTTCATTTATAAAAGTTTTGCCAGGGGGATGGCATGTGCACGGCTCTAGCCCCCATAGATGGCACTGGCGGGTATAGGAAACTCTCAGAGCTGTCGGCAACATCTAGTGGTGCTGGTGCCATGCAAACAGCATCTACCAAGCTACATGCGGTGGAAATTTACAAATGACCCCTTAAATAACCAGTTAGGTTCATAGGAGGCCCGTAGGCTCTGCTGCCAGAGTGACCCGAAGGCCTCATTCAGACGGGTGATTATTTGACATTTATTTTAAAGGCAATGAGTCTCCGCTAGGTAATGTCTTTCTGCAAAATTCTAATCGCAGCTCAGCGGGTCTCATTATTTTTTGTGCATATTTATAAAAGGGACTGACTATGTCTGTGTGATTAAAGGAGAACTATGAGGTGAGTGCTTTTCACTCACCTCATAGTTCTAGCCGACCTGTGACAATGAGACTGTCACAGGTCGGCTCAGTAGATCGGGAGGTGAGCGAACACATACCAGCGTTCGCTCACCTCTCGATCCTGTCACGTCTCTCTGCCGTGACAGGGGAGGGCCTGATTCCCCCCTCCCCGATCCGCCAGCGCTGACTGGCAGATCGGACGGGGAGGGGGCGGGTACAGCTGGCTCTGCCTCTAGATAGGCAGAGGCAGCTGTCAGTCACGCAGCTGGGCGGATCCCGGCACAATTGTCGGGATCCGCTTCAGCTGCGGCGTCTCAGTATACCGCGAGCAGCAGCTTGCGGTATACTGAGCCTAGGGTGACGGGAGGACGCTAGTTTGTGTCCTCCCGTTACCCTAAGGAGAACTATGGGGAAAAGCCTTAACCCCATAGTTCTCCTTTTAATATCAAGTGCCTCTGTATGTTAAGATTGTGATCTGTTGTATTTCTGATGATCGTTTATATTGTAGTCCCGTCAGCATGAACCTAATACACATTTTCTTGCTTTATGTAGCCAGCCGCAGACTTGAGGCAGTACAACCGGGCCATGGTCGTGTATCATGCGCTGCGTAACCACCTCTATACAACAGAGGCCGAGGTGATTGAGGTAAGGAATTGAAAAATGGCAAGTAGAAATCCTCTTCTAGAAAGCTGTTCTGTCCTCCCAAGCTTCTCTTTTACTTAACGGAGTTGTAAAGTCCCAGCATCTCCTCTCCTGTTATCAGCATTGTAATAGGAAGACTGTTAATATTTTTAATTTTATCCTCTGGGCGAGTGGAAGCCAGTGGAGGGATTGGCAGAGGGGGGATGCAGACACTGAGCGGTTGGTTAGGTGAATGAGTCTGGCAGCTGCATTCATTATAGACTGAAGGGGGGATATCCTGTGTAGTGGAAGGCCAATGAGGAGGGAGTTACAATAGTCAAGACGAGAGATAACAAGGGAGTGTATGAGTAGTTTTGCGGTGTCATTGGTGAGGAAGGGGCGTATTTTGGAGATGTTATGAAGGTGAAGGCGGCAGGATTTGGATAGGGATTGGATGTGTGGAAGAAAGGTGAGGTCCGAGTCAAGGATGACACCTAGGACCTTGGCATGAGGGGAGGGACGGATAGTTGTGTTATCAATCACAACTGAAATGTTGGGGGAAGGTGCACGGCTAGGAGGAAATATCAAGAGCTCAGTTTTACATATATAATATGTATTTTTCTTTACTGAATTGGAGCTTGACTTACACATTTATGAAGAATATCGGATTAGGTCTGAGACTCTGTAGACTAGAGATCTGCAACCCATGGGTCATACCAGAGCTGCTTACCTGCAATCCTGTCATATGCATTCCTGAGGATCAGAAGTTTTGTGGAATAAATTTTTTTTTTTTTCTTATGCATTTGACAGGATTGGGGATTCTGCTGCCTGTTCTGCATTATTCATATGATGCCATTGAGAGTCTAATACAGTCCACCAATGTCCACTTATAACTGAAATATCATGCACATGGCATATGTAGGTAATTGGGTTTCTTTTATGTATCAGGTGGTCCTGCCCTGCCTGCTGGACTTGTTTCCCGTCCTACATAAACCTCCGCCAGCTGTGGGATCATTCCAGAAGGATGGGGAGAATCCATCAGACCAGGTGATGCAGCTGATCCTCACTCACATGGAGATGGAGCATAAGATAGCCTTGCGTCGCTTGTATGCCCGCAACCTGCCCGCCCTCCAGGAAAGGTTCATATACATGTTTTCTATGAATACGTTAAACGTATTATTATTATTATTATACAGGATTTATATAGCGCCAACAGTTTGCGCAATGACATTGATAATCTCTTCCCTGACACAGTGAAGCTCGCCTGTATGTGCACGCAGCGCAATGGTTTTTAGAATACCACCAAGTGTCTTCATCAAGGTGTTCCATCACAATCCAAATGATGGAACGCATCTACCTCTTTTAACTACTGCTAGCGGGTTCACGTAAATACACACCTTCCGCTAGAAGTGGTTCTACCAAGAACACGGCTGCTTCTGCACCGTACCGTTTTTAAACCGCTAGCGATTTATGTCTTTTGTGCAAGCAATCCGGCGTCTATACAGCCGCCGGATCTCTTGTATGTTGCGTCACTGTGTGAGCCCCCTAGACAAATAAAGTACTTAACCTTTGCAGTTGGGGTAACCCCATTGCAAGGTAAGTTTTTGATTGATCTGGAGTTCTTCTTTAAAGTGTAGGTGGTGCTTCCTATTGTTTGGAATAAATAAGTAAATTAAAAAAAGCATACATACTGTATATACACACAGTGCTTGAAAAATCCACTCGTCTGTGACGAGAGGACGGTGGAGCCCGACGAGCAGCTTCCAGTCCGGGCGTTGTAATTACACGACCGGCCGGGAGCTTAACATTCAAGCGTTCGGGCGTCTCTGGAGACGCTCGATCGCTTGTATTAGCAGCTGTCACTGCAGTTGCCGGTCCCGAGATCCGCGGCACGGCTCTGTGACAGGAGTTCAAAGGGAGTTCAGTATACGATCTCTCTTTGAACTCCTCTCAGTCCCCGAATGCAGGAAGTGATGTATATTACATCACTTCCTGCATTCAGTGTCACTCTCCAGCTACAGAAGCTGATGAAGCAGATCTGTGCTTCATCAGCTTCTCTGGGGGTCCCTAGGTGACATTAGGGGTCTTGGAGACGCCTGATGTCTCCATAAAGAGGACCTGTCATGTAATTTGGCTTCTTAGCCCCCCATGTAATAGCAATAAAGTTGTGTGTAGAAAAAGTAATACAAAAATTAAACAATCATAATCCTAAGAAGAAAAAAAATAAAGCATAAAAAAAATTAGTCCCCGCCGCCCACATAAACACACAGATATGCGTCCGGTGTGCCTACGTGCGAAAACGACGATTGTGCATATTGTGCCACACGTTACATATCGCCGCAAACGTCGCAGTGAGAGCAATAATTTTAGGGCCATTAATCACTGATGACACTAAACTGATGAGCAGTAAAAGCGTTTTAAGCGTCGCCTATGGGCGTATTTTGCGGGCGGACGCAATTTTAAGGCTTGAAATGTTTGGTGTCTATTTACCCGACGTGACCCCGAATTTTATGTTTTACTAAAAATATGGGTAAGAATAAATGTTTTATAACATAGGGAAACTTTTTTTTTTTTTTTACATTTATGGTACTTTTTTCATTATATAGTAAAAAAAAAAATAACACCCCCCAGTGGTGATTATATACCTCCAAAAGAAAGCTCTATGTATCCCCAAAATGTTTTAACATAAATTGCAAGGCTATAGTCCGGTCATGCTGACTGGTGACATTTTTGACTGACTGGTGAGACACCCTAAAATTTTTCAAGCCCTGTGTATATATAATACGATTTTAGTCCTAGTGGGCAGCCACCGTACTCTAATTTGTAAGGTAAATGCCCAGGTGCTCATCCACAAAAATATCATACAAATCCAAAGTAGGTATAGAGGCACTCACGGGGTTTGCAGCAAAGATATGGCAAATCATTGGCATTTTATTGTCAACACTTGATTGATCTCGGTCCATCTTGATAAAGACAATAATATACACTGAGTGGCCAGATTATTATGACCACCCCCATCAGTACTTCGTTGGGCCGCCTTTTGCCTTCAATACTGCGGCGATTTCTTCTTGGCATTGACTCCACAAGATGTTGAAAGGTGATGCGAGGAGTCTGACACCATGCCTGATGAATAGCACGGTCCAGTTATCCGTATCTTCAGGAAAAAATCACTTCTACTGTCGTGGTAAATAACCTGCTTCCCTATTTATAATGGTCTGACCCTCTAGCAACTTCAGCGCCAAATTATAGCTAATTTGCCTACAAACGTCAGGTGGTCATAATAATCTGGCCACTCAGTGTATATTGGCAATAAAATCCTGATGCTTTGACTTGCCTCCGCTTCGCAACCTATGCCTACTTTGGAAATATATTATATAATTTATTATGTAATGTAATATATAATTATTTTTTTAATTCTTTTAAGCTGAACTCGGGGATAAGTGGAGGGAGGGTAACCTGAGGCAGGAGGTGTGACTTGAGATACAGAGCGGGGAGAGGGAGGACGGATCTCTGGCTCACTCTGCATAGTCACTCAGAAGTTAGGCACTGGCTGTAATTTTAGAAGAGGCATGTCTACCTGGCTCCTGATATTTTTCCAGTCCTGGTGTTACATGGTCTAAAAGGCGGACTTGACCTTTTTAATTCATATTTTTTAATTGAAATCTAGAATGATAGTTGTCCTTGAAATCTTATGTTGTACAGCATTAAGGTCTGATTGCGTAATCATCTTTTTGATTTAACACAACTATGTCATGTGATGGCCTACCTCAACAATTCATTTAATCGGTATCACTGCAAAGTTGTTGGTGCATCTAAATAAGGTTGTGAAACCAGATTGCAATGTGTATTCTTTGTGTAAATTAACGCACCTAGGGGTATGGTCAGATGATTTCTCTATAATCCAAAGCTAGTGTGTACGAGAATGGCTGTTATGTAAATAAGAAGTAGGCATACGTCTGCTATCTTTACTCTTATTGCACACCATCGCCTCTCTAATCTTTCTTCTCCTTGCAGGCTGGGTGCAAGGATAGTCCGACACATGAAAAGGTTGCTGCGTGTCATAGTTGGTTATCTGGAAATGCATGATGGGCCAGAAGAAACTGCCCGGCTGTGTATCCTGGAAACTTTACAAGGAACTATAAAGTATGCATGGCCTAGGTGAGCCTCTTCATTATGAAGATACTGCCCATAACTCCATTACATGCAAATGTAGGGCCCTCTGTGACCCTGGCTGATGTTCACAGGGGGCAAGCTGGCTTGTTAAAAATATAGCCACCATGTAATATCTGTAGGAAGCCTAATGCTGAACTCCAGTGTGCATTAAAAAAAAGTATAGTGTGTGTGTGTGTGTGTATATATATATATATATATTTAGCTAGATATTAGCATAATGTTCGTTTAGTCTAGAGGGCTCTTACTCTACGATCCAGGGAAAGCCAGAGCTTTTGGTCTTTTGTGCTGTCTGAAATGTGAATGAGCCCTTACCATAGGGGTGGACAAATTGATATAAAATTCTGCAGCCAGTCTGTTCAATCTAGGAGCAAGCCGTATTTTTTGGTAGCCAGTTCTATTGACAACAACTAGGAAAATCTTCAAAAGTTTAGTGACGGCTGTGATTTTTAAGGAGCATTGGCAACCTGGCTCCTGGAATTTGACCATCAGCATTTACAATACAGGGCCAGCAGTGGTCGTGCTGTTGTGCTCAAAAGTTTGCATACCCTTGGAGAATTGGTAACACTGTGTTTCCCCCGAAAATAAAACCTACCCCGAAAATAAGACCTAGTTCTGACCATTCCCAGGGCCGGTGGTGTCATAAGGGGGAACTTGAAGAGCCGCGGTGCCAACGAAGCCAGCGCTAGAGGAAGCGAGTCGGCAGTGGACAGCTCCAGAGCTGTCACAGGCGGAGTGATACCAAATGCACTCCGCCTGTGAGGAATCAATAGTGAAAGCGCGCTTCGCCCTTTCTGGTTACCAAATTGCTCTTGCCCTGATCACCCAATTCTTAACTTTGCCATTTTGGATTATTTAAGTTGGTTTTGGATTTGCATTAACTTTGGATTGTTGTACAATAATAATTTTTAAAAAAAAAGACCTGGTATATGTACCATTTAAAAAACAAAACCATAAGTGAGCAGGCAAAACACATTTGTTTTATTTCTTATGGGATTCATATTCAACTTTAGGTGATAACAGAATGGCACAATCATAAAACAAAACATGGCAACAAATAAAAAAAATGAAATGACCTCTGTTCAAAATTCTGCATAGCCTTAGCTCTGAATACTGTGTATTGCCCCCTTTAGCATCAATGATACTGTGCAGTCTTTTGTAATAGTTGTCGATGAGGCCCCGAATTCCTGCAGGTGGTATAGCTGCCCATTCGTCTTGGCAGAATGCCTCTGGGTCATGCAAAGTCTTTGGTCCTCTTGCATGAACCGCACGTTTGAGATCTCTGCAGAGTATAAAGATAAGTTTTAATTCTAGAACACCTCTGGTTCTTTTATCTGTTTTTATATCTCAACTTACTGTTCACACCAAGGCATCCTGAGCTGTAGAGCTAGTAGTTTTTAGCAAAGTTCCCTGAGACCTGAAATTTATTTCAAGGTTTCATCTGTGTTAAAAAAAATTTGAGAGGTTGTGTTACGATATTGGATTCGCCAACAAAGTGGTGTTATCCTTTCATACTTCAATGATGCACTCGTCTTTGTTTCCTAGGATCCCACCCCGACTATCACTGCTGGTGAAGGCTCTACTCAAACTGATCTATGAGGTTTCAACTGACCCAGGTCAGCATTCTCAGCCAATCAGAGAAGCATTATTGCAAAGGGCCACAGAATGCCTGATACTTCTAGATTGCTGTTCCAAAGGACAAGTCAAGGTGAGCTGGCAGACTACACATGGCAAAGCCTCAATGATGGATGGGCAAAACTCAGAGAAAGGGAGCGTTACTGTATATCCATCCAAGCTATTGTCATCAATATTTTGAAAACCATGCACACATTGGCACCCAGGTAGTACACCGGCACTGGCGGTGAGGAAAGAGCGGTCAGCCAAAGATGAGTATAACGGGGGGAAAGAGGGGGCCTGATTGGAAGGGGGTAGATCCATTTTTACACATTCGCCTGGGAAAGTGGAATTACCCTTTAAGATCCTCAAATCTTCTCTGGTACTTTGTATATTCTCCTGTTTACTTTAAAAACATTGTGGAAACTGTGTGATGGGGGATCATAATGTGTCGTTTCCCCCCCCCCCCCTTTTTTTGGCCGCCCGCACAAGAGTCCGCCCAC